CCACTCGGAAGCAAGGTGACCGGTGGGAGCCACGCTTGCTGAGACAGTCTGGGGACGGTCCTAGAGTCAGCCTGCTGCCGTCGCCATCCTGTGTCCTGCCGAGGATGCCCCGCGCCTGTCCCACCCTCGAGCCCCGTGGGGACTGATGGTGCTCACGACTCTTCCTGCGAGGGGAACTTCAGACCTCCACGTTACGTGGCTTTTTTAACAGGAAAAACAAGGCAGCTGGAGCCCCCGAGCTGCTCTCTTGCCAGCATTTTCACATTTTGCCTTTCGCGTGGTAGAAGCCAGCATGGCGATTCCGTGGTGGGGACCCCCGTTCACGGCAGCGCCCCACAGAGCCATGCTGAGGTGTGGATACGGCCGCGGTGCCAGGCAGCGGGCAGTTCTGAGTCGGGCTTGGCTTTCGGAGTCCTGTGTCTGTACGTAGCAGTCTGGTGTGTACATACAGTAGCACTTCAGAGTGGATGTACTGGCCCCCGCTACCCCGGACAGGCGGCGCCCCGCCCTGTGACACCTACGTTAGCGAGGAGCGAGCCACTCTGCTGTATGCCTTAAGCCAATATTTACTCATCGGGCCATTATTTTTACAATGGCCATGGAATAAACCCTTTGTACGAAAATAAAAACAAACAAAAAGAGCAAGGTGTTTTGGTATAATGCCTTTTCATGTGTGTGTATACATGGGTGCATGACCGGCGGGGGCGGGTGGGCAGGCGTGTCTCAGGGTCTTCTGTGACTTCACAGAGCTGTCGACTGTACAGTTTTCCAACTCACCATATAAATGATGGGTTTGCATTCTAGTTGCAACAATAAATTTTTTTTTCTAAAGATCATGGATTTGGGGTGCTTCCCATTTCTTTGCTTAATGGACCTAAACCAGAACGGGCAGCTCGTTTCTTTCCATCCCTGCTGATGGGGAGCAGATGGTGTCAGCTGAGCGGGTTAGTTTTCCACGTCGAAGAGCTGCGCCAGCGGCCTGGAGTCTGCATGCCACTGGCCTGGGGGTGCCCCACGCTGGGGAGGTATGCAACCCTTGAGGCCTCCACCCATTTCCTTCAAGGACACAAAAAGGCTCACCCACTGGAGGACCCCCGATCACTGCACACTTAGAGGAGTTGTTGGAAGAGCTGCTCTAGCCTCCAACTGTGTCCCTTGGCCAGTTGCCTGTAAGGTACAACGGTCACGGCATCTCGTACACACGCAGTCCCGTCTGACGTGGAGCTGACTCAGAAATCATGACAGTCACAACACTGTCGTCTTTTTGTGTAACAATGAGCCAGCCTAAGGCCTCCCCAGAGTGAGGGCCTGGCTCGGCTTTGAAGTAATTTCCGACTTGCAGCATGTGCGAGCATGGCACATGGGCCATGACACCCAGCTGGCGGCAGGGGGAGCGGCCATGCAGTGGCCCCGGCAGGCCCTCGGGACTGGGAGCCAAACCAGCTATGGTCTGTGGCCACAGAGTGCCCGCCGAGGCTTGTGGGCCCAAGAGCATGTCCCACCCACTCTCCACTTTAGTGTTTTGTGTATAAAAAATGGCATCTAAGCTTTCAAGAAGAGTGCTGGTGTGAAAAAGTAGTGGATTTGTAACTTTGGAGCAGACACGAGATGAGAAGGCCAAAGGCCTTCCCATGGGCTGCCTGCGTAGGACCAGGTACACTGAGGGAAGACAGACGCACGCACGTGTGGCCACCCTCCATCCCGTCCTCACAGGACACGCGGGCTGGTGGGGAGTCAGCGCCCACGTGCAGCTCGTGTGTCCCGGCAAGTCGCTGAATTGGAGGAACACCACCATTTGCTTCTTGGTAAAGTAAAACACCGATTAAAAGTCTTTTTTTTTTTTAATTGAAATTTCAGAAAACTGAACATAGGAACAAGGGAAATAAATACTAAATTAACCCAAAAAGCACAAAATATATACAAGAAGTTGGAATGAGAATGTTTAAGTTACAGAGTTCGCCAATGCCACTGCCGAGAACGGCTTTCACGTCCCAAGTTTCCTCCGTGATCAGCACAGAGACGTCTCAGGACGTGGTTTTTAATAGACTTAAATAGGAAACTAAGTTTCTTTAAAGCAACATGCTCTTCAGTGAGATCGCTCTTCAAACCAGTTTATGGCCCCTGGCGCAGTTTAATAGGCCCTAAGTGGACTGGTTTCAAAACCCGGATTCCATTTTGATGTGTACTGCCAAGGCCTGCAACGCCCAAGGCTCCTGGCTGCCCCAGGTCCGTCCTTGGTGCTGTGAGCAGGGGGAAAACGAGGTCCAGGCCGGCCAGCTCTGCCCTCTTGGCTGGCATGCGGGCTGCAGCTGGGTTGACAGTGGGTTTTAGAGACCTTGGCTCAGGGCCCTTCCCCAGCTCGCCAAGGTGACAGCTGGCTGCTGTCAAAGCGACTGGAGCCACTGCGGTCTTCCCCAGCCAGCCGGCATGGAGCAGAAGTGCTGAGCCAGCCGGTGTGCAGGGGCTTCTGTTCCACCCTTCACCCCAAGGCCTTTTATTCCAGGCCTTGGCCGGCTTGGCCTCGGCCACTCCGCAGTGTGGCTGGATGGCACTGGCCCGCTCTGCATCCTGGGGAGGGCACTCGACGTTCAAGCCACAGATCGCCTCCTGGAGCTGTGCAGCCTTCCGTGCGTCACCTTTCCTGCTGCTGCACAAAAGCCCCACGTGTGCCCTGGGGCTTTGTAACTGCCCTGGAGCCCCCGGTGGCAGCCCAGGCAAGCTCAGTCCCGGGGAACGTGTGGCGTGCCCTGCCCAGAGCTCAGGCGCTGGGGCAGCAGCCAAGAAAAAGAAGGAGGAAAAGAAAGCCAAGTTTGGGGTCCTCTAGAGACTTTTTAAAATACTGTGATTTCAACATCTGCCTCTTGGCCGAACACTTCGTTTTGTTCTGAGCAAAGTTTGTTCATCTTCTCAAAAGCTAAGCGTCCTTTTTCACCTGAAATAGTAAGGGATTGCCACTGGATGGTCTCCCGCTCTGTGTCCTACTCCGTCCAGCCCTGGCTGTCCTCGTACTGGCTGATAGGTTGGCTTCACTGTCACATGGGCAGGGCTGGAGGAGTTGAGCGCCCACCTGGTGGCCTGCATGGACTGAGGACCTTGCCCTACCTCTGCGACCCAGTCTGTGGAGCCGGCCCCCTGCCGCGCCCCCGCTGGCTTTCGTCCACAGAGACTAGAAAGCGGAGTTAAGGACTCTGACACTTGTGGCCACCCAGCCAGGAAGGAACATGCCGTAGCTGGGAAGCAGCTCAGTGGGGGCTGCTCTGCTCCAGGCTTGCGCCCGGTGCCCACCCTGTGCCACTCCGCCTGTTCGAGGGCTGGCGCGACCGCTCCTTCTAAGGGCCTGGGAACCCGCCGCACCGCACACGACCTTTGACGCGCTACGTTACCGAACGACAGCGTGGTCTCCCGGGCTGCAGCTCGCACAGCCTCCAGGTCTGACTGGCACAGGCTGGCAATCTGATCGATGCTCTCAACGCCCTGTTGGAGGTTAGAAAGAAAAGCGTTCGTTAGGTAGAGTCCACCTTTATCAGCCCTGCAGGGGGCCTCAGCCCCCTTTCATTTCTGGAAGCTTCCAGGTTTCTTCTGTGGCCTCAGGTTTGTCCGAAACGCCTTTGGACAAAAGTTCGTTCAGCTGCTAGGGGGCCGGCCATCAGCAGAGCTTGCCTTCATGGATGCGTCTGGCGGGCTCCAACGATGAGGAGACGTGCTTCCTTCTGACCCTTCCTACCTCCTCTGACCCTCTAGGGCAGCCTGAGCTGGGAGAAGGCTGCTCTCTAAGGACGAGCACGCGCTGCAGTGCCCCCTGCTGGGCACCCAGCCCCTTGCTGCTTATCTGTAACCAAGTGCCCTTCCTAGAATCCCCTGTAGATTCATTCCGGAGTGAATGGGCAAGTGAGTTGGATCTTATTGACCTATCTTTCATCTGGTAAATGGGCAATGATTTTTTAAAAGGGAGATGTTTGCTATAGAGCATGTGTGCTTGTCAGAGACAGAGAGAGAGACAAAGTGAGAAATCACACCCTGAGGGGGATGGCCACACCACAATTCCTTCTCCATTCTCTTCTTGGGATTTTGGGCATGCATGCACACATGCCTGGCATTGAGTTTTAACTGCCAGCTCTGGGATTCAAACCTCAGTAGGCTATGTGGGAGTTGAGTTCCTTAACCACTATGTATCCTGCTGGCTTAAGTGTGATTAAATGATTAATTAATTTAATTTATTTATGGTTATTTTTTTTTAATTTGCTATAGAGCATGTGTACTCACCAGAGTCAGAGAAAAAGAGAGGAAGCAAGCCACCAGGGCTCAAACCACAGTTGGCCAGCTCCTTAACCACCAGGCTACCTGCTGGGTCCCAGGTAGTAATTTTTTTTTTTTGGAGAGATTTTTGCTATAGGGTATGTATGTTCACTGGAGAGACAGAGACAAATCACTCCCAGGGGAGATGGGTACATCACAACCCTTCCTCCTCCATTCTCTTCTTGGGATTTTGGGTACGCACACACATGTGCCCAGTGTGAGTTTCAAGCCTCCAGGTCTGGGACTCGAACCATGATACACAATGTGGAAGTCCAGCACCTTAATCACTATGCCACCTGCTGGCCCCAGCACGTAGCGATGTTTTAAAATGAAAATTGCAATTGCATGTGAGGTTGACTGAGGTAAACGGACCGCCCTCAATGCAGATGGCTGGGTTATATCAAGCATCTCAGAAGCACTGTTATTACCTGGGCTTGTCCTAATACTTGTGGAGTCCAGCCTAAAGAAGTCATTTAGAACTTGGGACCAGCAGGTGGTGTAGTGGTTACATCCCTGGACTCCCACATAGCTGACTGAGTTTGTGTCCCAGACCCAGTAGCTTAAAACTCGTGCCAGGCGCATGTATGTGCATGCCCAAAATACCGAGAAAATGGAGAAGAAGGGATTGTGGCATGGCCATTTCCCCCTCCCCCGGGAGGGGTGTGATTTCTCACTTTTCCTCTCATCTCTCTCTGGCCTGTGCATATGCCCGATAGCAAAAATCTCTCTTAAAAAAAAAAAAAAAAAAAAGAGAGAGGGAGGGGAGCGTGTGCTGCTGTTCCCTGGGAGGCAGAGCCATAATGTCAGTAACTTGTTCATGTGTCCATGCCAAGTGGGTCGTGGGGAAAGTGACTGGGACAGCAATGCAAAACACTGCTACAGTGAGAGTGACCAGGCTTGTTCTGAATCCCTATTTATTAAAATATTTTAATAAGAGGAAAGCCTACTTTGCCCACGATGCCCTTCAGCAGTGTACAGCTGGGGATATCGTGCTTCTCAAAGCTTTACCTGTTCCACGAATAAAGCACGAGAAACGTGAACTGGCTGAGATCGTTTTCAAAGTTGGAAAAGTCATAGATCCAGTGACAGGAAGACCCTGTGCGGGAACTCCCTACCTGGAGAGCCCACTCGGTTCGGAAACCACCCACTTCACCAAAACCCTAGAAGAACTCAATGTCTCTTCAACACGTGAAGGAGGATTGGAAGGAACCAAAGGGAAAGGCTGACATGTTCACTTTACGGGAAAAGAAAATTTTCTCGGTTTTATCATAAACTACTCAGTTACTCTTATGGTATATTATTAAATAACCAAAATTAAATGAAGAACCTGTTACAATTTTTCATAAAGAGTTATGCCATGTTTCAAATGTTCTTTTCAGCAAACATGCTTGTGTGTCTACTAAGTGTGCCTAGCAATCGGCCACATTATTTGCTGTTACTTTTCCTGTTACTTTTTCATTCAAGGGAATCTTGAATTAGAATCCTTATTTTGGGAGAATACTTTTTGATATAAACAGATAAAATCCCCATTAAGCAATATTTTTGTTCTATATTTTAAATAAATTTAATTTTTCTCTGATTTAATCCGTTCCAAAGGGGAATAGTTAACATACTTGTAAGCCAGACTTTTTCAGATTAAGCCCTATTAATAAGAATGTTGACATGATGGAAATAGAATGTCAAGTTCTATGTTACCTTTTTTAATATCCCAGGCCAGATCAAGCAGGTGTGAGTTAAGACCTGGTGCACATAAGTTGTAGGACTTTTCACACATACATTTGAGTTGGAGAGTGTCTGAGTTTTGTTGCAGTTCATTAATAAACTGTGATAACTTTTTTGCGAAAAAAAAAAAGAATTTAGAACTCAAGATGGTTCATTCAAGATGGTTTTTCAAAAAGGTTTATGCATAAAGTTTCTCAATGATGTGATTTATGAGCCCTCCCAAAAAAACTGGATGAAAAAAACCTCCATTTTCTGTAACATGCAAGTGGGCGAGTAGGTTAAATGAAAACATGCACCTGATGGCCCCTTCATGAAGAATTCAAAAGTGCTGCCTCTCTCACACAGGAGTTCTTACTTTGCTCGCTAATTTTAAACTGAATGTAATAGGGTCAACGTCAAGCGCACACACACCTAGAAACAAATGTCGTATATCAACATGTCAGTGGAGGTTAAGTGTCAGCGGATGGATAACTTCTACACTTCTTTTTTCTTTTAACAATGAACTATTCTTCTCTTTATATATGTATGTGTGTGTGTGTGTGTATTTTTTTTTTTAACTGCCAGAGGACACATGTACTTGCTAGA